AGAGTGGGTAGCTATGCATTATTCTATCGGCAAGGGATTCCTCTTTCCTCTCCTCAAGAAGTGATGGTTACTTTGATGCAAAAGCCTTCGCCTCACTCCCTCCTGTGTGCCATTAGGAAAGGGCGGATTGGCAGAATGCACCACTCACACACGCTTTGACCAAGTTGATTTCGGTGATGAATCACTCAAAGACAGGTAGAGTCACTCAAAGACAGTCACGTGTCACTACCGCCGACTCAAGGAACTGGAGACTAGAGGGTGAAGCAACCTGTTCACATCTGCACCCACCAGGAAGGCCAAGTCGTGATGGAACCTGAACAAGTTAGTGCTTGCATTGAGCTTGCACCGACAGGCAGGCAGGTGGGCAGGCAAACAATGAACCCTCACGGCTGTCAAGTTGATATCGTGGGCTCCTTTCACACTGCCAAATTTGGTGGCTGTTTGTGGTGTCCTCTGTTGACTTGACTGATGGCTTACTGGTCAACCCCAACCTACCAGTGGGGGAGACTTTACACCTCACTTTTGGCAGGGAAGGAGAGAGATGCTGTCTTGGCCTCACTATTAGTTTTCTTTTTACATGGCGCCAAGTTCTACGTGTCCGTGATCTTCGTTTGGCATCAGCACTAGGCAACCACAGCAGTCCGCTGTCTGCTAGATTTCAGCAGCACACGGCGGATAAAACTAGAACTGGGTAAAATTTTTTACTGGCAATGGTGCGTTTACTTGCCTCCCGTAGGTGTCTTAATGCAATACACTTCGATATATCCTGTCCTTCCGCTGGGGGACAGGGACATTTAAAGAGTGTGATGTCCACTAAGTGGCCTTCAACGTTTCTTGGACCTACTGACTGACCTCTGATACCTCCCTCGTCAATGCAACCACGAGGAGTAATCCAGAGTCCAGGGCAGTTGTGAACACAGCACACCCAATTCTCCGGTTGTGGAGTTTGTTGGCGCTGCTCGTGACAGCCTTTGGTCACATGAGTCACTACATACTGCACAGAGAGGGAGGGTGGATGGTGTATTTCCTCTGTTTACATAAATACAGGCGGGTAGGCAGGCAGGCACAGGTCAGGACACACCCTACAAGGATTCACTGTCAGTGACAGTAACACAATCACAAACACGCACGAAGTCCGGGTGCCTTTTTCTCACCCCTCGTACTGGCTAGCGATGCAGATGCTTGACAAGTTTACTTTCTATCACAAGTGATTACCCCTGGACATTTGTAACGCCGTGTCAGATTCTACGATCGTCGGAAATAAGCTCGGAAGTGCAATTTCACGTAGTGGTTTTGACCACCGACGTGATGGGAAACACACTGGTGAAGCCAGACACAGAAATGCTTGTTTACTTATCTACCAGACTTAAAACAGGGCTAATCACCGGCCTTGACCTCTAAATGGCCTCCTTTCTTAGCAAATAATAGGTTTTGTAGAACTTAGACGTAGAAAGTTAGCTGTAGGAAGAGTTTCACGGCCATCAAGCAATCAGTAGGGTGATGGCTGCAAGCCCTAATCACGTTCATTATCAGGGCTTTGGGGAACGGTGAACCGCCATAGCAGTGTTTTACTGTCCGATCAACCTTGACAGAGGCACAGCTTGCTGCGATTGGTTAGCATAAATTGAAAGGAAACACGTGTCACGTATACGTGACGCTAAAGTTAAGACAATCATACCATCATATACGCGTGACGTCAAAATGCAATCAGACTGTCAAAGGAGGGCATTTTGTTGTGAAAATGGTTGAAGGAAAACCGTGCTGACTGAATCATGAAAAAAATTAAAATTTAGACCGTTGAATACAGAGAGTGTGTCCACACTAATGTTCTTTCGGTACGTCTGTGACTCGAAACAAATAGGGTCCTCCCCACACCACACCACGCCGCAGCTACTGTTGCGATAATGAGAAGTCACCTTAAAAGTGAATTCTCAGTCCTTAATCTTTGTCATATGACATCGGTCTACCCGACGAAGAGTACTAAGCACGTGGTCACCTCGAGTTGGGTGTGACACCGAGGAGGCCTATTTTTGGTGGACCGTTAAAAAGGCGGAAACTTGGATTGCGACTTCTAAGCAAGACCTTAAAGGCTTCAACGATTCCGCCTTTTTTCTTCCTTAAACGGTAATGAGGCCTAGGACAAAGTGAATCAGCTCTCGGAGCTTCAGTGTGGTTACACCTTGGTCTTGGATAAAGTTTATATCCAAACCGGTAGAGACAGTTTATCTAGTAGGATGGCTTTCTTCCTACGGGATCCAAGATTTCTATCCTTCCCCCTCTCGTCCACTCCTCTAGCCCTCCCAATACTAGCCCCTTAGTTGGATGAAGCGGAGCTGTCGACACGAGAGGCACCAACGAATATTTTCTCACTACCAAAAACTTTTTATCTTTTGTCAACGGTGAATAGGGACCACTGGGGGAAAAAAAGCTCTAATGATTATGCTAGCAGTTGCTTTTAGTAGTCGTAGAAGCGCTGGTAGGTTGTAAGCACGACCCTCAGGACATGTCGCCTACGCGGAGGCAAAAATCGCCCACGCACAAAATAATGTCATGCCATTACAGATTACAAAAATGGGCAATTTTGACCCTTTCTACCTCAGTAAGCGTAAATAAAATCTTGTTTTGATTAGTTATATAAAAGGGTTTAATTAAGGCGGATTCCCCAGTGGGACAAGGCATACTCCCTTGATACGGTAGGCAAAACAAAAAGTAAGTTCTCTCTTCTCCCACACTTGTAGGGGGAAGATGATTTACCGCGCTCCATCGATGACATTTGACAGGTCCTCAACAGAGCACAGCAGCGACAACCGTTCAGAAGAGGGTTTACCAGTAATTTAGCGACATACTGCGAGGCAATTGTCATGTTAACGGACAGCAAAAAATGAGTTTTCCGAGTTGGTGAGCATCTTGACGCCTGAAGGTGTGCAATGCCTGCCCGAGACGTCGGATGGAACTCATTCACAAACGCTACCTTGGTGGCAGACAATTCTCCGGGAGGACAACCACTCCACCCGAGTCCAAAAGAGGCTGCACCCCTTGAGGCCTGACTTAAACAATGTCTCCTTTCCGAGGGCGGAAGTTGCAAAATCATCTCTTAAAGCGCTTTTATTCGTTTACGAGGAGGAATTTTGTGGTGTGATGCGTGGCGATTTGATTTACAGTCATCCCAGACATTGCGTAGGTGGTGTGTTCAATGCGATTGTGGCCGAATTTCGCAATGTCTAGGTTTCATATCGACAAAAAGGGGGCAGTCCTATCTACCAGGCAGGTAACTTGCCCTGGGAACACTTGGAGTGTGACAAATTCGTCTATTCGGATGGAATAGGCAACCAGCACCCCAGATGTTGGTACTCTCTGTGATTCAAAGTAACACTATCAGCCTTCATTTATCACTACCACCCCGACCACAGGCTTGAAGTGGATTCCTGCTTCGGTGGGATGTTAAGTTACAGCCCTCTCGGGGAAGCCTTACTAATGACTGTTGTTCACAGTACCCCGCTTAAGGAGTTCAGGGGCGAAAATCCACCATCATGAGCCCAACATTTTAAGATGTCAGGCCATATCCCACGGAAGCTTAATCACCCTTACGTCTGAGAATACCCTGTTTTTTTGTAATACTTGATTCGTCCGTCAGATTATGACAACTGATCGCACTAAGACAAATGTCACATATTTTTGACACTGAACTCGGTAAAGTAAATGGGGAGGCGTTGGTTGGGAGTGACACTGTCAGGGGATATGTTGTCTGTCCGTTTGGCCAAAATGATCCTTGTCACGACCCAGACTTTCCACTCAACTCATCTTTCAGATTATGAAACTACCCTGCCAGTGGAAATTTTGCCGACCACACCTACCACAAACATGATCTTTGCTAAAAGTCCATAAGCCATAAAATTCTGTCCACAAAGCTCCTGGTACCCCACAGACCGACGGGATGCGACTGAGCGCCTTGTTGCAGGACTGGCAGAAGAAGACAGTGAGGCGATGCTGTTCTGAAATCGTAAATACAAAGCACATTTAAGGTTAAGGTAACGGAACATCGGTGCTGTTTCGCTCCAGCTAGAATCTTACCTTCCTTCCCTCCCCCCACCATCCTTAGTGTCCGAAAAGCGAATGCCGACGCACAGGCTCATTCTACATAAACACCGACAACTAGCAATAATGATCCGAGAGAAAACTCGGTCGGTATCTAATGGGTAAATAAATGGATGTACACAGGATGAATGGATGGCAGCGAAATGGATAAATGGATGGATACTAGTTGAATAGATGAATGGAATCAAGTTGGATAAAGGGAGGGAATGTGAGATGGATAAGTAGCGGATGGTTGCACGAACACCAGCTTCGGTGAGCATAAATTATGCACCCGGTAAGGCAATTAAATGACATGTCACCGATTAAAGAGGCATCCGTGTCACCCATTTTATGAATAACTAATACGCTTTGTTTATATGAATTCGAGAGTACCACGCAACGAATGCGTGGTTCTTAGGCCTACCACAAAAAATAAGGAATGCTTCTTTCCAAAGCCGATTAGAGACACGAAAACGGAGAGCGGGGCCTTCGTACAGCTCGTGTGTGCATTTAATCAACGTTTCAACGCTGTGTAACCAACCTTTGGATAAACTTTACTGTCCACTTCGAAATTCTGTTTACCTCTGCGTCTAATTGCCGTTTTTTTGACCATTTTTATTTAGTAGCTACTTTTTCCATAATCAAGGCGACAACGAATGCTGACATTCCCACCAGGTGCTGTCCAACTGATTACAAATCGAGCCAAATCCATCGAGACGCCACACTCTTCGACAAGACTTCTTCAGCCGGTTTCGTGATGCCCAGCATTGTGAAAAGTACCGAAAGATTGCCCAACTTAAAATAAACCGCATTTTCTTTTCTGCCTGAACACAAATGAAGACGCGGTTTGTGATAAGCCCTAATGTGCTTCCGATGCCTCGCGTACTCCAAGTGATATAGTTAAATTACTATCGTCTTTAAGTACTCCAGAACCACTGCGTGTACTCTGTAAGGAGATTTGGTTGTGGAGGAACCTTGTGAATTTCACAGCATTTGGGCCTGACGGATTAGCCTACAATATTCGGTTGTTCGCTTCCAAGGGGGCTAACCGATGTTCTATCTGTTAGACGAGAGTGCTAGTAAACACCAGAAAATTGCTGTTAGAGTATATTTATAAGCAATATTGCCAATCGACCAACTGCTTCTGACCTCTAAACCTCCCATTCGGTGAGGTCGCCCTGTTTAGCTTTTAACCCGACGTGTCACGCAGACGATAGAAACGTGCTCAAGTCAAACTGTGGGGTGTGTGGAAATAAATGAACATTTATAAGAAGGATAGGATAGATTTCTAACTGATTTAGAGGGCGAAAATGAGGGCGATTTGCAGCCTACAATAAATCCTCAATGGAGAGTGATCATCAGTGCGAGGTGCCTTTACGCGGTCATTCGTGCGTGTGACTGACAACATACAAGCCAATGACGCCAAACGATCATGCAAGGGGCCCATGCCCTCATGACAATGAACATAAACAGAGGCTTTGCCGACATCATCCAGCCGCTTCTCCGTCCCCGCATTTCTCTCTCTCCCACTCTCTGTGCATCACATTCCGCCACTTTGAGACCTTTTAGTGAACACACGAATTTACCATGTAAATCATATCATTTGGCGATTTTGAGCACCAGTGGAGGAGACGAAATTAACTGAAAATGTCGAAGCGGTTAAAATAATCAGTGACAATTTTTACGCACTTATAGACGAAATCAGAATGAATGTTGATGGATCGCATCGATTCGCGGATGAGTAGACAAAACTTACGGTCTACGGAAATTTGCTAATTGCTACATCGTGCTAAAATTTTAAGTCTTCAAACCCTTCTCTTGACATTCAGCTGCATCGCGGATCTTTGTCGCAAATACACAACCCTGGTGTACCCAAGTGACGTGGACTTTTCCATATTTGAGAATGCAACACCATCTCCGCATTTTATTTGGCAAAAATGTTAAAACCACTAAAAGAATGCAAACAAAGGTGAAGTTGTTTAGGTGAAATTCCTAATGACGCCTATTTACCGATGAAAAGACATGGCTGCGTTTGGCAACCAAAGAACTCAATTCCGCTCACGCTATCCTTGAAATTATGTCCCTCATCGAAGTGGCAAATTAAAACATTGGTAGGACCCTTCTGTTGCTCTTGTCCTATTTAATGTGAAACCGCAAGGATAGCCCCAGAAAGGCAATTATAAATATTGATATTAAGCGCGATAAAATTTTGACGTCAAAAATTAAAATGTTTAAGAGCATCAATTTGAAAAATGCCAAAATACCTTTTGCTAAATGCATGGCATTAGCAGCCACCTTTAAGAATAAACCCTCCTGAAGGGTGGCGCTCGATCCCCACTCTCGTGCAGTTGAATCGCGTACCGGACCGAGAGGACCAATGGGAGGCCAGGGCCAAGTGTAGCCAATCCAGTGCGCTGATTGGCGTGAACAGCTGATGCACCTCCACGCCGGTAAAGGGCATAAATACGCGGACACAGGGAGACCCCAATCTAGTTCTGATTGCGTTGAACGCATTCAACTAGCCCTCTCTCCATCCATCCAACCATCCTTGTGTCCAGCCAATCAACGCCCTCACAACACTCTTGAAAACCTAGAGTAGACTTGACACACCTTTCTTCTGCGAACACTGAATTATTGTGGATTTGCTTTTCTCTCTAATTGCACCTGATATACTGCCTAATGGAAAGACTCACGTCCTCCTCATTCCCTCTCCTTGCCCTCCTCATTTGGCTCACCTTCATGGAAAAGACAGCAGCCTTTCCGAATACGTGGGTAAGTTGATGGAGACATCCACCTGCATTAGAGTGAGTACTTTACTTGACAGTCCTTTTATCTATTCTTAGGGGCGTGGATTGGTGATAAATCGCCGCCCAGAACTGTACTTCGATTCAGAGGTGGTAGACAAGGCCTACATTCTCTGTTGGATGGAAATTCGAAAGGACATTTTGGAAAGTCGAATTAGGGGATTTGAGCAAGGTAAACCTTACCGCCCCAAGTGGATTCCCATAGCAGACGGCCGTGCCTACTACTTGCCTTACTCGGAGCGGCAAAAACTCTCATTGGGGGACAGGTGTCTTCTGGAGAAGGGTATTCAGATTGCTCGACTACTTAAATAAGGTGTGCAGCTGTTTGTGTGTACATAGCTCAGTCCTCGCGCATCATCATCGCCATCACCTTTATCTGTACATATCCAAGGCACGCACACTCGCAGGCATGTCAAAAAGCAGCCCACTTTTGATGCTGCTTGGTACTGAGGGTGATGTAATTCACAACTGTACAAATGCAGATAACTCTCCATCTCCGCGGATGCGGGAGGTCTTCCATCAACTAACACTCAAGTTGGCTGAGTGAATGTAGTAGAGTATCTCCACTACTCAGTCCAGTAACAAGGGGCAGGAGAAACTTGTGTAGAAGGTCCCAGAGGTGGTTTGAGTGGTCTATAACCAAGATGCGTCACGCTCGGCGGTATCCAATGTTCTCCTAACCAGCTGGCTGACTGACAATAAATTATAACTAGGAAAGGATAAAAGTGATTGGACGAACCAAAAGGGTGAGGTGTGTGAGCTAGTGGTCTTGGCTACGTGGGATAACCAAATGCCAAATTGACCACAGAGAGGTGGATCTCTAGCAAGAGAGCTTAACCGGAGCTTGGGTGCAGTAGTGGTGAAAGAATGAATTCCGCTGTGGTTAAACGATGGACAAGGAAGGTCCACTAAGCGTCAATTACGAGACTGAACCTATCACGCTCCTCCAGCTCTGAAAAAATGGGTTTTGCATGAAGTAGGAAGTAGGAGGACTCTCTGTAAGGTAGCTGGGTCCCAGAAAGGTAGACAGATTTCTTGGTGGGGAGAAATATCAATTTGCGTACTGGATGAGAGAGAAGCAATCCCATTTCCTCATCATTTTTTTGGTGGGATAGGGCTCCCGCTAATTTTAAAATTCTCCCTCCGATATGCAACATTGTGCTGAAGGCTCCAGCTGCCGTTAATTTCAGCAGCTGCAAGGAAGGACCATTTTTCAACTGGAGGCGGGTGATATTGCTTCCGGACAGCTCAATTTTGTTTATGCAATAGTTGAATGACGGCGGGTCGCAAAAGTGAACGGTTTAGAAGATTGATTAGATTGAATTGGATGGAACTGCGTCCTCCCAAAGAGACACCTCGTCAAATAAGGCTATGTGCAAAAGCGGACACTCAATTCCGGACGGCATGGCCACATTTGCTTTCTTGGCATAACTGTTTGAAAAGCAAAGTATCCGCTAAATTAACTCACCAGCCTAAAGTTGTGGACTCCATTTCATCTTGTTTTGTGGTTGCTGAACCCTTATGGTTAGTATGAAACCAATGTCTGAATCAGCTGTCATGAGATGGGAATCTAGACCGCCTCCGACTACCTGTTGTAGAGGTTTGAGCTAGTAGGAAACGGACCTTCGCATCCTTTCCTTCCTAGGCCCCATGGATCTACTTCCACGGTACTAAGATCTAGTGGACGACTACTCATTTGTCAACAGAAGGATGAGGTCGTGCTGACGGTTGCTTAGCACCACGACTTCCCAAACACTGATTTGGGTGTCACAACACGCAGCCCCTTGGGTTGGCAACGGAACCGATGGAGGAGGTATGGATATCTTTGCATGGCTGATCTGGGCGCGTATGTGTGTTTGCATGACCGGATGATTGAAGGGGAGAGAGAGAGAGTGCGATCCGTACTTTTAAGGAGACAATTAAACAGAGAAAGTAATTTACGTCGCTCTGATTGAAGGACATCATGTGCCGAGAGCGTGGCGCACTCTGCGGCCTACTGCACCCACCCCTCACGGCACGCCTCTCGGTCATGACACCCCGAGGTCACCTGCCCTCGTGGCCTGTTTATTGGACCTATCAAGAGTTGAGGTGGAAGGGGAGGGCAGGAAAGGCTTGTATTCTTATCTAACCTGACTAAACTGTCCATCCATACGTCCGTTTACCCATCCATCCATCTTTCCTTCCATCCAGCCAACCATCTGTCCACTTATCTACCCATCCAGCCACCCTTTCATCCAACCATTTGCTCATTCCTGTATTCAGTCATCTACGCATTTCTCTAACCATTCCGAATCTGGCTTATATACGGATTCGCAGACTACTTGAAATTGGAAATGTTCGATTTGAAAAGACAATGAGTTTGAACCATTTATGAATAATATTTATCATAGATGGAGCGGACAAAAACAGACAACGAGTACGAATGTTGTGAACAACAAGGGAGGAAGTATTGTTCCGACCTTCAGACCTAGAAATGTCCTTCCACCTTGTTGTCCAGTCGGTTAAATGAAAATCCGACTATTTGTTGGCAGAAATGATGGTGCATATTTTCGGCTACGCTCATGAGGCGCCTTCTAATTGTGAGACGAGGCATATCCGTGGACGGAAAGTCTGGGGATTTTACGCCTCTTCCTTAGTCGTGATCGCCCTCCCACTTTCCTCTCCGTCAGTAAATAATTCAGTCCTAGAGGAAAGTCATGGCCGTCACGCCTGCTGATTGGATTAAGGTGTTAGAAGTGGAGGTGGATGAGATCCACTAAAAACAATTCGTGGTGGCTCCAAGAGGGCAGAAGCATGACTAGCTGGAAGGCCGGAAGTGGGTTTCATTCGGTAGGGCCTGTTTTTCCAGTCAGTCCACTTTGTAAAACACATTTTTTGAGCGTTTCCCATCCTACGGAGGATTAGGTTGATGGGAAGTAAATCTGTGCTCGTTTAAATCCACCAGAAATGGGCTGTTTGCAGGGCTTGAGGGCGGCAAGAACCCCTGCTTCCACATTTCTTCCCTTCCCAGACCAAAAAAACATCCTGAGGGATTATTGTTTACCTGTCCTCCATTCACATCCCTCCATCCATTTGTGTAGGTGAGGTGATTCAGAGTCCCCCTTCCTCCATTTTTTATCTCATGAACTTTTAAGTGCAGTTCATCTCTCCAAATCACATCCACGTGTTGCCTCGACATTCGAATACCAAGACTCGAAGTCTGACTTGCAAATTTCACGCTCTAAAGGATTTTCGCCTCTTATACATAGCGTCAAGCAACCTCGGGAGTTGTTTCGCCTCTCAGGAGTGCACATGAACCGTCCAAATGGGAGTGAAGATTTTAGAGGTCGGAAGCCCCAGCTGACAGGATTGGACCACGGGCAGGCTCAAACCTCGAAGGCTAGAGACGTCCCTCCAGACGTCTACCTCAAAACCCTAATGTCTCGCTCTCTCTCCATAATGATGGTTACACAATTCGTCCAAGTTAACCACCGGTTCTGGTGACCCAAGTAAAATGTTTCTGACGGTCGTAAAAATCAGGCCTTTGGTGACTCAAATGCGGACCCTGTTGTTATTTTTGTGATTTCGGGATTTTTGCATCCATGGAGCGTGATTCGTGCCTTTTATTTATCATCTGATCTGATGATCCAATTGTTCCACCAACTTACGGACCTGATTAACACATCAACGGCTTTCCGTCTGTTACTGACATTAGCGCGTCTTGTTCGTCAGCTGGCAGTGGGCATCAAAACATGTCATGGGAATTGTCGACCCCAATTCGTCGAATCATCCATTTGATTGCATCATTAAGTCGGAAGATCCGGTGATGTGACACCTGGATGGATCTATAATTTGGAGCCATCGTTTATTCCTGCTGTTTGCAAAGCCACTCTGATGCTAAAGGAAGAACATCTCTGGCTTGATTGATACCTAGTTTTTGTAAGTCAAACACCTCAATGTGTCAAATAAGAGGTATGATAAAGTAGGAGTAAGCAAGTGGTCATTTCTTCCACACAAGCGACACTTCGAGGCCTTCAAATGTGGAAGAGAATATCAGATGGCGTCCCTCATTGACTTGTGATTCTTCAGAGGCGTGGAGTAAGCCTTCCACTTGGATAATTGAAAGCATCCTTAATAATTTCTCTGTCTTAAAAGCCTTTTTAATTTACTGCAGGCCCTCACCTATACGTTTGGAAGACGTTGCTTCTGGTGAAGAACAGGATCCACTCCAGCTCTGGCATATGTTGGACTCTTTTTCTGTATTACAGTGTTATGTATAGTAGAAGATATTGGAGTACTCTTGCCGTCTTTCAACTGCCCATGGCAGTTGAAGGGACATTTGCTACACGAAGGGCATTTAGGAGGCGAGATTATGAGGTATAAGTTTCAGAAATTCAGCTATTTAGAAAGGATAAATTGTTGTTTCTAATCCAGATGTAGCGTAGGCCCTATAATTGCCGAAGTCATCCAGTTTTCTGCGAAAAGATACTACTTATGAAC